CCTTCGTTTTTTTGCCACGACGATTCTTTCCCTCCGCTTGAATGAATGCCCTCCGCTGCGAACTGCGTCATTCCTGGTAACCCTGTTTGTCCCCCTCAGATGCTCCACACTTTGCTACACAACAATTCAACGCCCCATTTGATTCCTGTAATCACCTTCTTCATGATGTGAGCAGCAGCTGTGGGGAACAGAGCACGGGGGAGGCAGCACTGGTTGGGACGCAGCAGCTCCAAGCACAGCAGCGGGCGAGGGCCAGGCACAGCACCCATTTGGTGAACTGAGGCAGCTTGCAGCCACGCAGATTGGAGGAGCAGGCCTCCAGCCCTTAGGCTCAGGGGTGCAGCGAAGCCACTCGCAACGGCGGCGGCAGGGGGGGCGGCGGCGGCGGCGGCGGCACAGCGGCACTGGCCAGCTTCCAGCGCAGGCCCGTCTGCCATTGCCAACGCCGCAGATTGTGCCTGCAGAACTCGTTTGTGCGTGTCAGGGAGCGCCCCACGGTGGTTTCTCTCAAAGGTGGCCGAGGATGAGGTGGCGGAAAGCCTACCACGCTTTCACATGAGCAGCTCTCCCCGCCGCTTCCCAGTCGATCAGCCGCGGCAGGGGGGTTTCAGGCGCCTGTAGGACCTATTTATCAAGCGCACGGCCACAATGCAGGCGTCCCTGTCGCTGACCTCTCGGGCCTTTGCCGCCCGGCGCTGCAGCGCCGCCCGGGCCCCCCGGGTGAGCCATCGGCGTTTGTGGGCGGCTGGGTGCGGCAGGGACGGTGCCGGGGGCACTGGCATGCCCCCGCCCTGTCATCTACCACAGCCGGGGCAGACATGGGGTGTCAATGCAAGCCTGGCCGGCCCCCAGCCCGGCCTTGGAGCTCCTGGGGAGCCTGATGAAGCCGGTGCCAGCGCGCATTTCGCAGCCGGCGGGCAGGCACTGCCGCCGCGCCGCCCCCGGCCCTCCCGTCTCCCGACTCGGCGCCAGCCGCTGCCGCTGCTGACTGCCTGCCCCTCCCCGCCCCGCTGCTGCAGCGCATGCGCGTCCAGGCCGTGGCGCTGGACACCTCCAAGCTGTCTGCTGAGCAGCGGGAGTTTCTGGAGCGCAAGCGCCGCGAGTCTGTCTCGCCCGGCCCCGCCCCCACCCGGGTGAGCCCTGCCTGCCACCGGCGGCCTCCTCTGCATGTGACGCACCTGTGCACACCTTTGCCCCTGGATGGCAGCAGCCCGCACGGGCGCGCGTGCCTGCATCACTACCGGAACCGGCGACAGACGAGCACGGCGCGCAGCGCAGGGTGCCGCGCCGTCGCCCGGCGTGTGTGCCCCGCTTGCATGCGTCACCCACATCTAACTGTCCTTTGCCTCCTCCCCTCCCACTCCTCCTCCTGCAGGGCCGCAGCTCCACCCCCAGCCGCGGCCGCAGCCCCGCGCCGTCCAGCCGCCCCACCTCCTCCCCCGCCTCCTACAACCCGCCTGCCCCCGCTGCCGCCAACGGCCTCAGCGCGGAGCAGCGCGAGTTCCTGGAGCGCAAGCGCCGCGAGTCCAGCGCCTCCCCTGTGGCCCCGGCCCCCACCCGCGGCCGCAGCAACGCGCCCGCCCGCCCCTCCAGCCGCACCCCCGTGCGCCCCGCCGCCCCCGCCCCGGCCTCCTTCAGCGCCCCCGCCCCGGCCGCCGCCAACGGCCTGAGCGCCGAGCAGCAGGAGTTCCTGCGGCGCAAGGCTTCCGAGTCCCGCAGCGTGTCGCCCCAGCCCACCCGCGGCCGCAGCAACGCGCCGTCCCGCGCCCCGGCGCGCCCTTCTAGCCGCGCCCCCGCCCCGGCCTCTTACGCCGCCCCCAGCTCTGACCCCGCCTCTTACAGCCCCCCCGCCGCCGCCGCCGCCGGCGGCCTGAGCGCCGAGCAGCAGGAGTTCCTGCGGCGCAAGGCTTCCGAGCCCCGCAGCGTGTCGCCGGCCCCCACCCGCGGCCGCAGCAACGCTCCCTCCCGCGCCCCGGCGCGCCCCTCCAGCCGCGCCCCCGCGCCCCCGGCTGCCTCCTACAGCACCCCCGCTCCCAGCGGCGGCGCCGCGGGCCTGAGCGCGGAGCAGCGCGCCTTCCTGGAGCGCAAGGCAGCCGAGACGCGCGGCGCCTCGGCGGCGGCGCCCACCCGCGGCCGCAGCGCCGCGCCCTCTGGCGGCGGCGCCGCGGGCCTGAGCGCCGAGCAGATGGCGTTCCTGGAGCGCAAGCGCTCTGGCGGGCGGTGAGTGCCACCCACAGCCACACCACGAGAAGAGAACCGGCAGCACTTCCCCCGTACGCCGCGTGCCATGCGCACTCACCACTAAATAGCACCGGCCTGCGCCAGGCTGGGGCTCCCCGCCCCACCCACCTCCAGCCCCGCTGCCACCGTTGCATCTTGCCACCTCCACCTGCTGCCTGCCTCCCCATCCGCCGCGGTGTGCTGCACCTCGTATGCTGCGTTTTGTAGCCACACCGCCCCATGTCTTGTTTCTGCCACAGCCCCACCATCCAAATCGTCCTTGTCTCGCCGGCCCACTGTGCTGGGCCGGTGTATTTTGGGGGATCCCGGGGCTGCCTGCCTCCCTCTTTGCTAGTCTGCTGTGTTTTTTTGCGGCGCGCGTGCCGCACGTCCCCTCCTTTGCCCCATGCTTCATTCTTTCCTCCCGGTCCCGGGAGGCGCACACTGCCTGTTTCCTGCCATACGCCGGCCGAACTGATGTTTAAGAGAAGGCGACAGCTTGTCAAACCTGTGATGAGTTGCAGCAGGAGGAGGCAGGCTTGATGCGGTGGGGCGTCAGGAACTTTATTTTTTATGGCGGGTGGTTGGTGGGGAACTGTGCCTCCCCTCCCTGTTTGATGGGAGTCACATTCAGCTGCACCGAGTCTTGCTGCTGTCTTCACAGAGTCTGCCCACTGCCCACTGGGGAAGTGTCCGTTGGGTGGGGCGGGAGCAGCGGCGGTTGACGCTGTTGCACATTCCTGACAGCAGGCCCTGCCCACTGCTGCTCCCTTCTCCCTGCCTGCTCCAGAAGAGGCAGACGCTGCCCGACCAGATGCGGCTGTGTGCCTGTCCTGTCGCAGCCCTGACCGAAGGCCAGGTATCTAGAGGGGGGCCATGGCCAGCTGGCGGACACATGGAGGGGGATTGTGGAGGGGCACGACCGGTCAGCAGTGGGCAGCCCAATGCCGCTCGTCCACCATCGTGTCTTATGCCATGGCTTTCGATCCTTATTGAGCAAGGGGCAAACAGTGTTGATAGCACATCGGTGGGGGAAGGCATCCCGAGTCATCCATCGCCCCAAGATGTTCTCCCCGTTTGCCAACTACCGGCCAAGCTCGTGGGACCCCGAGGACGAGCTCGCCGAGGTGCGCCGGAGGGCCCACTCCACGCGGCACAATGGCCGCCGCCGCCCATGTGTCTTTTGGCGGCCGCGCGCCAGCCTTGCACCCCCTGGCCTGTCACCGCGTTCCGACCACGACCCGCCTGCTGCAGGAGATTCTTGCTGGAGAGGTGCTGGGCGGGAGCCTGCGGTCCAAGCGTGCACGGCTGGAGGCAGTGGACGCCATCGCCGCCGCGCTCGCCGCCGCCGCGCCGCCGCCATCGCCGCTCTGCCTCGACATGCGGGCTGCCGCCCCGGGCGTGGTCACCCTCAGAGTGGAGCTGCCTGGCCGTCAGCTGGCCGTCCGCAACACCGGCCACTGGTGAGCGCTGCGCCCAGCTGCTGCTTCCCCTGGGCCCACCCTGCCTGTGGACCATGGTGCGCCGCCACTCCGGCCCAGCACACCCCATATGCCCATCGCTTGCTCCCCGCTCCCCTTCCCACTCACCCTGCAGCGCCCTGGCCAGCTCTGGCCACCGGCTGGAGCTTCCACTCCTGGACGCCAGCGGAGCATGTTGCCTGGGGCGCTGCACCTTCACCCTCGCGCAGCACGCGCCACAGGGCGCCGGCGGCAGCGAAGCGAGCGAGGCGCGTGCGCTGGCTGCTGACCTGGCGGCGGCGCTGCTGCGCCAGGAGCGGGCGGAGATGGAGGTGAGGCCCTCCTGGCTGGCCATAGGGCATGGGGCGCGCAGGTGGTGGCAGGTGGTGGCGGCAGTGGTCACGAGAGCCACCTGGCAGCGCCCACCACAACTTGCACAGCTGGCCGCTGCTGTGAACAGGGGCTATGAGTCGAATTGTTTGTCAAACTGGCTGGCCTGCCCACTTGCCGCTGCCTGTGCAGGAGGTGCTGTCCCGTGTGGTGGACGCTCTGCCCCGCGCCTCATCCGAGCTAGTGCAGGGCACGTCCTGCGCGAGCGGGGCGGCCGCTCGCTCCGCCAGCGCCTGCCTGCCGCCGCGGGCGCAGCTGCAGCTGGCACGGGCCGCCTCGGGCCAGCCCTCCGATGCCTCCACCACGGTGCCCCTGGCGCTGCAGCAACTGGCCCGCGGGCTGTCCAGCCGCCTGCCCTCGCCGCACCACTGCTCCGGCAGCCTCCCGGCCGCCATGGACGCCGCCCTGGATGCTGCATTTGGTGGCCCGGAGTACAGCTCTGCCAGCTGCGGCTCCCCAGGCCCCAGCCAGGGCGCCCAGGACGCGGCCTGGGGCGCAGCCGCATTGGGCAGCAGCCAGCCAGCGGCGCACGGCTGCTTCAATCGCTGGTCAGACCTGCTGCCCGGGTCCCCCATGGAAAGCAGCTGCTGACAGGAGGGGCGGCCACCTCGCTGGATCCTCGGCTGGTGCCTAGCTCGCCCGCTGCAGCTCTAGTTTCGCTGCCCATGCTCATGCAGCATCTAGGATCTAGCTTGCCTACTGTGATTGCACATCTGTGCTGTGCGCTCCTGCACCTCTGTGCTGCCCTGCCGCCGCTTTGGCTCGGGGCGCTTGCTGCTCCCTCTCTCCTTGCTGCTCCCTCTCTCCCTCTGCTCATCGATTCCCTGCCTCCCACCGATGCCCATTTCGACCAAACTGCCTATTCCCTCGTTTTCTGCACCAGCTCTGCCGTGCGCCCTACCTGCCTCCATGGCAGCATGCCCTCGGTGAATGAATAGGAAGATGTGCTTTGCACGACACCCCACGTGCCAGCATTTGTCTGTATTCCTTTGTAGAGTGTGTTATTCAACTCCTGCATCAAATTGCTTTCAATTATTTCCAAATGCCCTTGCCCAATCTTTATTTCCCCTTGCCTGGCTTCCTGCCCAGCAGGCCTGCCAGTGCTCGCAGCTGCCCTGCGGTGCTGCTTGTTGAATGTTACACACAGACAGTCGCTTTTTCCCAGCGGTGGTGTGCACAGCTCGGCTGCGGCAAGAACCATGCTGCCATTGGGGCATGGGGGAGAGGGGCTGCCGATTGGTGCATATGGCGGCGAACGCTGGGCTGCCAGTGGCTGCATGGCGCCCATGCTCACCCACCCTTGCAGGCAACCGACACGCTGCGGCATGGCAGATAT